ATTATATGATTATCTAGAGCGCTTAGACCGTCATGTATTATATTACGATACCGATTCTTGCATTTATGTGAGCACCGGCGAACCGGATAAATATGAACCTCGTACCGATAATTTTCTACGCGACATGACCGATGAACTCAAGAGCTACGGGTGCGGTAGTTACATCGAGGAATTCGTGTCCGGCGGTCCGAAATTTTACACCTACATTGTGCGAACACCCGATGGAGTTATACACGAAACTTGCAAAGTTAAAGGTATAACTCTCAATTACGAGAACTTACGGCGTGTTAATTTTAATAGCATCGAAAAATTGATATTAGCGAGAGAAAAAACACGAGAAAACGAGGATAACGAAGAAGAAGATGAGACAACGATAAATCTGTGTTTCAACGTCATTCGTCGTACTGCGTTTCATGAAATTGTAACGCGGGATGAAACAAAAATATGCGCACTGGTATTAGTGAAACGTAGATTTATCAATGACAGATATTCATATCTGTATGGATATTTATTATAAAAATATAATATTCTTTTTTTCTGTATTTTCTCCCGCATTTTGTACAAATATTTTATACGCATATTAGGAAATATTTTTTTGTGTAAAATTTTGTAATATAGTAGTGTTAATAATAGTAACAACATAAGTCTGTAATATGTAACAAAAAAAATAAATTTTATATACATTTTTTATAATAACGTTACCAATTTTAAATAATTTAAAATTAGCATAGAATAAAATTTTGTATCTTAAATTGATTTAACATGCTCTTTTCTCTATTCTTTCCCCGTATATCAAGAAATAATTTTATTTTATTTTTTCAAGCAATAAAAAACTTTGAATGCGAACTCGAGCAAGCGTGTTTTATATTAGAGTTATTTTTATTACCCTTGGTGTCGAGGTGACGTTCAGCCGAAATTGTACACGTGCTTCTTTTGTTTTTTATTGTTAGGTCTTTGTTACCGAGGTGTCGATAATACTTGATATCGCGTATACAGCAAGCGAAATCGTGGTCAGAAGTTAGAGGCGTTTGTAATTTTGTATATCTTGTTTTCTTTGTTTCCTTTGTTACCGATGATGATACCAACATTAGCCGATAGTAAGCTATCAGCTCGAAATCAGTGCGAGTCTGTATTTTTGCTAATCTTTTTCATCGCTGTCACTCTGGCGGCCTTTCCTCTTGTGTCTCTGGTGAGACACAAGGAATTTTCGGGTCTCAGACGTTTAAAGGATGAGGATCTTAAGGATAGGCGGCGTCTTCACTCCGGATTAGATTTCAGTTTTTTAATCAATCTTTATTTCCTTTAACTCTGGAGTTGATTTATTTTGTCGCATCCCACCTAGAGGGTTAGTTAAATATTTCCGCACTCGGCAAAAGTTAGAGTACAGGCGATAGTTTTACGTTTAGCGGCTTGTCTTCGACTCGTAGTTAGATTCCGATTAGCGACTTGTCTTGTCGAATTTTTATCAGCGACTTGTCTCTCTGGATTTTGTTAGCGACTGAGCGACTCTGGATCTATTCGATCGCTAGTTAACGACTCGTCTGATTACGAGTCGGAAGTTATCCTCAATGTGACTCGGGTAGTTGGTCTAGTTGAACTCGCTCTCTGTTCACTCCCGAGTTCTTACGTGAACTCGGTTTTTTGTTATTTTGTTTGGAAGGAGTGCCTGGCGACAGGCACCCGATTGGTGCATAGCTTTTGCTTACGCGGTTAGATTTTGAGCTAAGAGCTGTTCGAAAGATGAAGCTCTTAGCTTGCGTCTTCGCGGTTTCCGGCCCGCTGCTGTATCAGCGGTCTCCACGCGGATTTTATATCCGTTAAACTTATAATTATAGCCTTTCGGGCTATAACACTCTCTATCGCGTAAGAGAGTTCGAAGAGCGAGGTGCATAGTCGCCTTCCACGTGGCCTCGGTATACCACGACTCGCCATTTTGTCGGCTTTTTCCAAAACCCACCTACTCTCCCTCTACCCTTCCAAAATAAAAATCACCCAATCAGAGTGCCGGCAAGTATAAGTAGAGCCTATCAGACGCCGAAGACTAATGCCCCGATAAAAAATAGACCAAAACTCCGATCAAAAAATTCTGTCTAGCTACACCCCCTCAGACGTCAGGGCCTCGTGTCCGGACTGAGTTTTGACACCTGCAACAGGGGTCACTGACCCTCACAGCAGGGGTCATTGTCTGTCACACCATAAAAAACCGTTTGGCACAGCAGGGGGTCGGCGCCAATGGCCGAGGAGTGGAGGATTGTTTTGACTCACTATAGTGGCCCATATACTACTATTTATAAATTCTTTAAATATTGTTGCAATACTTATTTGTAATGCAGTTAATATTAAAATATCTGTTTTATTGCAATATTTTAGTAATATTTCGTGCTGTAGAGGTATAATAGTTTAAACGTGAAAAAAACGTTTTTTAAATATTTTTAAAAACGTTTTTATCGAGATTTTTTATTGATGCTTAAACGGTTAACAAACTTTAAATACATTTAGAAAATATTTCTGAAACTATCATATGCTACCTAGGTTTATATTGATTTTTATATCGAAAAAAAATTACAAAAAGAATATAAAAATATGAAAAAGTTACTAATGTAACAATAAATATCACATGCAATTGTCTTATGTTTCAGATTAACAATCCTACAAAAATTATGTACCACTTTCTCTAATATCATTTATATTTAATATTTATTTGTTTTATGTTATTTTAAAGAAATTAATGGTATTTTCTGTGAAAGATAATTTTCTTCTCATCAAAAGTGGGAAATATAAATTAAATAATTTCAGCGCCATTTAATATCTATTGCTATTTTTAATTCTCAATTAATTAAATAGTTATGATATAACTGGTTAAATCGGTTTTAAAATAATATATTGTTTTTATTTTATATCTGCAGGTGGCAAATAATTATCAAAATAAAATACAATATGTGGCAAATAAATTGATACATAAATAAAATTTAATCTTTTAATTTTTTAATTTTTTTTATAGTCATGAGGTAATGAATGAGATTGATAAAATGAAATGGTAACAGATTGTTAGCTACAGATATAACCCAGCAAACACAGTATATAAATGTTATATATTTAAGCATGTTACATGTAACGTATATGTTAGTTGTAATTTCCCACTCATAGATGTAACATTTTTAATATAACATATATTACATTGTAGTTATATTATCATTATATCCCAAGATAGCACTGACTTATCAATACATCAATGTGCTATTTGGTATATAATTACAATATAACTACAATGTAATATATGTTATATTAAAATGTTACATCTATGAGTGGGAAATTACAACTAACATGGATGTTACATGTAACGTACATGTTATATTACATGTTATATTCCGTTTTATTATAGCAATGTAACAATTATATATCGGTGTTTGCTGGGAAAACAGACGAATCAATGCTATAAAATGTTATTTAAGATGTTATGTACAGGCAAATGCATTAACCTCTAAATTTATTATGTTATAGTTATAGCATGAGCAACTAGGACATGTCATTTTCAAAACGCTGAAGATGATGCCAGATGATGAACTTCTATTAAATACAAAAATAAATGCAACCAATGAATTACTCTGTGAAACTTAAATTGTCAACATGGAAATTTAAGTCGATTACCATTCAAGAAGAACATGCAAGAACGAGCTTCAAGACCCGAGAACTTGTACATATGGATATTTGCAATAAAATGACACATCCATCTATTGACGGATCTCACTACTTCTTATTATTCAAGGACGAGTGTATCTCATATATGCTAATTGTCTATTATATAAAACACAAGAGCAATGCATTTTCAAAGTTCCTAATACTAATAATAGATAAGGTATTAATAGAATGTAATCAGCAGTTTGAAATAATTATAATGAATTCTAATTGTTTTGTAGGACTAGGATTTCAGCACAATCATAAAGAGAAACAATTGTTTATTAGTCAATTATATTGCTAAAATGTTAAAAAGGTTCAATATGCAAGACTGCGATTCAATAAACACACCAAGTAGATCTAAATTCATTTTAAGTGTAAACGACAATCATACATCAATATACATAAGTCAAAAAACGAGAGATGGACGAATAAAGAGACCGTAGACAGCCACATGTTTATGTCCAGATATATCATATTGTTTGGAGTGTTGAGGTAAATATTTATTTATCATACAGTTTTACTAATATAGTTATTACCCAGCAAACACAGTATATAAATGTTATATACTTAAGCATGTTACATGTAACGTATATGTTAGTTGTAATTTCCCATTCATAGATGTAACATTTTTAATATTACATATATTACATTGTAGTTATATTATCATTATATCCCAAGATAGCACTGACTTATCAATACATCAATGTGCTATTTGGTGTATAATTACAATATAACTACAATGTAATATATGTTATATTAAAATGTTACATCTATGAGTGGGAAATTACAACTAACATGGATGTTACATGTAACGTACACGTTATATTACCTGTTATATTCCGTTTTATTATAGCAATGTAACAATTATATATCGGTGTTTGCTAGGTATACTAATATACTAATCAATAAAGTAACATACTACAATAATTAAACTAGCCACTAAAATACTAATAAAACTCTATTAATATCGATAAGAATATTGAAATCTATAAAATGTATAAGAAAATTGAGAATGCCAACATTAATTAAAGCCAAAATTAACAATATTATACATACATATATACTATACATAATCTTAATTAAATAATAAAGAAAACTTATTAATTGAGAGATTTATAAGTATAATACAATTTTATGAAAATAAAATTAAAGAATAAGAAAAAGAATGATAAAAAAGATATCCTTTTGCTACAAAGTTCAAAAATCTAAATTATTTTTATTAATCTTAAACATAGATCAACATATAAAAAATATAATTTTAATTTGCAAATAAAAAATTAAAAATCGATTCTATATAATGAAGCTTTTGCGTGACTCTTTGTTTGATTATTCTTCCCGATGTGGTAATACAAATCATGGAAGATGTTGCATTCGTTTTTGTATTCGTTTTGGAACCAGACCGCAGCCGAATCGCTTCAGTAACATCTGTTTGATCCTTTTTTTCCACACAAATATGATAAAGGTACATAGATTCTGTATAATGTCCATTAAATTAATAGCGTACGAATTGTAAATTGATTGATTTCCAGAAAATGATGACACTGTTATCATATACCATTTTATACCTATTATGATGAACAGGACAATAAATAGCTTCAGATACAGACTAAACCTGCAAAAAAATAATATTGTATATATGCATAGTATATATATATAGTTTTCATATCTCTTGTGGATATAACAGCTCGTAAAGAGTACGCTATAAATGAAAGTATTCAAACTAATTTATGTTTTATATGATCATACATTTTTTCAAAATTTCTCCTAATTATAAATACCTTATTTTATCATATCCTTAAATTACAATAAGAAATGCTATTAACTAAATTATATTTAAAAAACAAATAATAATAAATTTCAAACTTAGAGAGAAAAAAGTTAATTATATTTTTATTAAAAAATTGAATTTTTTAATTTGATGATTTTTATCTGTATAAAATATACAGAGTATTTTAAGTCTGGAAACGGTAGCATATCTCATGACAACGTATCTTTAAAAAAAGTTAAAAAAAACGTAGGCTCAAAAATATCTATTCAGAGATCTTACCATTTTAACTTTGTGTGGCGTTACCAAGGTCAAAGCAAGATCATTTTAACTTTTTTAAAAGGAACCGCCACATTTTTTACATAAATCAATTTCTCATAATATTTTATATAATAATAAAAATATATGTATAACAATGGCTCAAACATGAATAGTTTACGAAATATTTTATACTATAATTTGACATAATCTCACCTAAATTATTATATTTCGTAAAATATTCAATTTCCGATAATCTTACTTCAATACTTTTAAGCACAAAATATAAGAGAAAGCAATTGGTATAGAGAGAACACATAGTTGTTTTTAAGAAAAAATATGTAGCTGTAAATTTTAAATTATACATACTTTTTTAGCAATGTCACCCAAGATCAAAATGATAAGATTTATAAATAAATATTTTTTAAATTCTACAATTTTTATTTGAAACATTTTTTCCTAAAATACGTTGTTTATGAAATATTTGTTTTAAACTTTTAAATATATTTATTTATTTTATCTTTACTATCATCTGTCAGTTTTTTAAAAATTACAGAATTTCTCGAGAAAACACTTACATGATTAAAATAACAACATGTTCTCGAAAATATAATTTAAAGCATAAATGATAAAAAAAATATAAATAAAAGAGAAAAAGAACACGTTTGCTCAAGAAAAGATGCTATCTACAAATGATAATTTCTCCCTTTTATCAACAATGCGAATCAGTCAATTATGCGATCTTGGCATAGATGATAATAAAAATAGCATAAAATCTCATACAATAGATTATCATATATCAGTGCAACGATATCTGAGTACATACCATTTCTTATTGTCGTTATAACACTTGCTTTCTGAATTTTTCAGACAAGGATCTATATCCCTTTTGTAACGCGTAATCCTCAATGCTGTAGGGATGGATAAGCAAACGCTACTAATGATGCACATACTTTTAAACCCGTGATAATACAATATAAACGCAACCTGGTTTTCTCCTACGATGTACGATAAGAAAATGCATTTTACACTGCTTCTCACATTTTATAAATAAGTGAAATATAATTTGTTTTAAAATGATCCTAAAACCGTACTGTTTTACCGACAAAACAATTATTTTTATGTACGGTTTCTTTTTATTGGTTGTATAGAAATAAATCCTTTTCCACGATTAATACGAAAAATACATATAGACGAAATAAAACGGAGGAACTTACCGATTTTATGTTAATTAATTTTTTATAAATATAATTAAATTTAATTAAATTTTTTTGTTTTTACATAAAATTGGTAGGTCTCCATTTTGTTTCTATATGTACTTTAATCGTGAAAAATTATGTACTATTCTATTTAACCAATAAAAAGGAAAGTGTGCATAAAAATGATCGTTTTGTCGACAAAAGAAGACATTTTTCAGAATCATCACAAAAGTGACTTTTACATTAAGGGGATGCCGGATGTCTGTTTTATCGATCAGATGATTATAGATTTTTCTCTGCACCGAAATCTTTTTATTGGTTTAATAAAATAATAAATGCTTTTCCACAATTAAAACACGTACAGAAACAAAGTGGGAACCTATTGATTTTATGTTAAAAACAAGAAAAAATTTAAAAACTAAAATTTCTTTATCGACTTCTATCGTCAGGTCGAAAAAAATAATTGTTTAATATAAAAGTTCTGCTGTTTGTACGTACAAAATAAGATAGGTTCCGATTAGAAATTGAATGAAGAAGTATTAGTATATTTTTAGATATAAGTTTAAAAACCTAATAAATAAGAAAACGGTGCAGAAAATTTTCACGCATATGTGTTGTATACGTGCATATGTTTAGACATGTGTGGTGCTAACCTATCATGTGTATATGTGTATACGTGCATATGTTTAGATATGTGTGGTGCTAACCTATCGGAATTCGGCCGTCTCTCCGGCATCCCCTTAATAAACACATTTTTAATTAATTGCATTAAAATTAAAATTAAAAGAAGTATCTGTTATCTGTTATATACTCACCATCGAACCAGCAATCTTCTGTGTAAAATTTCGGTCGGAAAATTATTGGCACGTTAGGAGCATAATCCATAATTTCACAGACAATAGTGATGATAAAGGGAATTCCCCACGCGTAGATCATATATAATAATTTCTTTCTCCGTTGCTGTTTCACATTTTTTTGTAATAAGCACAATGTTCTACGAAAAGCAATTTACATTTTGCTAAAAACAGTGGAAAGAATCATAAAACAATGCATATTAAAATAATTAATTATGTTTGCGGTTCTCAAGAAATAGATATAAAGATTTATATTATACGATATAACTTTTATATACATACATATATATTTATTTTAAATTTAGTTTTGTTTTAGTAAATAAAATTTTTAATATACCTATAAGATTATAATCGTTTTTTTATTACAAATTACCGACTAGTATCATATATTCTTGCATATGCGAAAAATGTAAAAGTAATATTGCATTTAGATTATAAATAAAAATTATAAAATAAGAAATTGAGAAATAATTTCTCTTATATTATATCATGAATTATTAAACAAGTCGGCTCTCAAAATAAATACATAATATATATAATGTATATACAATATTATATATATATATATATATATAATGTATTTATTTTGAGAGTCGACAAAATATTCTTACTAGGTACTGTTTGTTTGTGTCTAAGCCTAATTACGGCGCTTTGGGGTAAAAAGCATTGAGAAAAGTATTGTTTCATAAGTGTCTGAATAGCTCAATGAAAGAGCAGTCACCCGGCAAGCGAAAGGTCTCGAGTTCGATTCCCGATTTAGCCGACTTTTGGACCAATACTTTTCTTGCCTATTTCTTTATAGGGGTGGGGGGGGGTTGAAAGAAGAACAGGGGGAATTTTGAGATCTCAACCACAAGATACGAATTCCTAAGTTTTTTAATTTTCGCAATAATATTGCGTTTGGCTCTATTGGCCAATATATATATACAGGGTGTCATTTAATTGGCGCCCACTATTTATATAGCAATATTTTCGTGGAAAACTGAGTCGAAAAGTCCTGTACCATTTTTTTTCTGTGAAGCATAATAAAGTAGTAATTATTCAGTAATGTATTAACGTTACTGAATAATTGCTACAGAGTGTTACTTAATTGGCGTCTGCTATTTATATAGCGATATTCCTCGTGAAAAGAGTCGAAAAGTCCTGTATCATTTTTTTTTGTAAGGCATAATAAAGTAGTAATTATAATAATTCTTTCTCGCTTGTGCAATCATCCGGTACTTTAGAGTGCCTTGTTTCTTTTGTATTCGGTTTTCCGAGGTTGTAACATTGCGAACTACGCACCCTCGTACGAGATATCAGGCGGTAAATCGCGCGGGACATACTAGTGATTACGGGAAACTTCTTAGCGCCGGTGTCGCGGGAATTAATTACTTTTGCACGGACCATATTAAGTCTCGTGCGTTGAAATTATTCGCCACGCATGAGAGCAAGTTAGCACCCGTGTGCCGCGTGAAACCTGATATCTCTGCGTCGGGTCGTGGTAAAGTCGCGGAATCAAAACACCGCGCCGCGTATCTATATTATTTTCGCTGAAAACTTCGCTGTTTTACAGATATGTGGATGATATTTTCACGATCATCCCATTAAAGTGTGTTGATGAAATTGTGTCGGCTTTTAATAATTACCATCCGAGATTAAAATTTACGCATAAAATTGAAAGTGATAACGCGATTAATTTTTGAACACCACTGTGATTAGACATAATGGTAGTTTGTTAACTGATTGGTTTATGAAACCCACTTGCTCGGGTAGATATATTAATTATCATTCTAATCATCCTTTTAAATACAAAAAGAATACCATTTTTAGTCTTGTTGACCATGCAATTTTATTATCGGACGACTGTTTTCATCAAAGGAACATCTCTAAAGTAAAATCGATATTGACGAATAATTGTTTTCCGTCGGATATTATTAATAAGTTTGTGAATAATAGGTTAAAATTGCTCAAGACACGAAATAATGACGATCGCAATGTGGATAATGACAATTCAGTTAATAAAAAATTTGACCGTATTATACAATTACCGTATGTCAAAGAACTTAGTGAGGATGTTTCGAGGTTATTACGATTTACTGGCTTGCAAAGCGTTTACTGCATACCGAAAAATTAAATACATTAATTAGACGCGTCAAAGATCCTTTACCGTTAGAAGAAAAAACAGGAGTAGTATATAAGATTAATTGTGCAAATTGTTCCTCATCATATATTGGTCAAACTAAACGACAATTAGGCACACGTATAAAGAACATTCTAATAATTTTAAATTACACAATAGTAATTACTCAGTCATAAGTAATCATAAATTGGACAATGGTCATGATTTCAATTGGTCTACTCCAGAAATTTTACATCATGAGAAATATGTAAGTAAACGAGAAATCGCGGAGATGTTTTTTATCAAAAAATTTGACAACACAATTAATTTACAAAAAGACACAGATAATTTAAATAATGTTTACGAAAAATTAATAAAGGTTGTTTAGTTTGATCAAAATAGTGAGTATATAAGGAGCTCGAAATGACACAAATAACATAGTTATTTCGTATTATACTATCATGTTATTATATAATGTCATATTTTAAGATCGAATTTTTGTTTTTTAAAAAAGTTGTGATTTAAGAACATAGGTATAGTTGCGTATTAACGTGTGAATATTTTTATATATTTTATTATTATTATAATTGTTCTAATAATTAATATTATATTATAGCACTTGATAAGGGCCGAAACCCACGGCCGAAACGTTGTGAAAATACAATAAATTTAATTATTTGCCAGAATTGGTCGATTGAATTACTACCATTTTTTATATTATTTTTGTTGTACACTTGCCGTTACTATTATATTGTAAAGTTCCAATTTCTTGTACATTTTCTCTGCCGCATATTATTTTTGTCTCGATGCTATTTATCTGCTCGAGGATAGGAGATACTATATATCATATGTAAATTTTTTTTTTTTTTTTTTTTTGGTATACTCTATATTACTCGATCAATTTTTTTGTTTGTCAAACTTATTGATAATATATTCTCTTTAATATTTAACCTGGTGATTTTGAATAGCCACTCTCGAATACTGTTCTTTCTCCCGTTCGAACTCCATCCTCTACCCCTTGACGCTCTGAGCGAGTCGAGTCTTGCCGTCGCGGAGAGCTTCGCAACTTTTCCGAGAAGTACGATCATTTTATGTTGCAAATTTGTTTTGCGTGGCGCGAATTTCGCGCCTGGTGCCCAAAATAATAATAAGTATTACAGGTTTACGAATTTCCTGACTCCCCGCGCCGAAGATGTGCCGTAGGCCAATTTTATCGGTCCAAAAATTTTGGGTAGACTATTCCGCGCAAAGGTCCGCGAGAGTAATAATCATTTTACGGTTACAATATATATATTATAAATATGTTATTTTATAAACATGTTAGAAAATATTAATTTATACATAATAATTATTTATACACATTATTTAAGGGGATCCTAAATGCACGGGCGAACTCCGATAGGGTCGATAATGAAGATTTTTTAAATATAATTATCGACAAAACTCGACAGATGTCGCAATAAAAAAGTTGTCAATCGACACACACATACATATACAGGGTGTCCCATTTTATATAATTTATAATTATATAAAAATTATATATACACAGGTTGTTACACATACATATACACATATGTATGCGTGTGTGTATTTATACAAGGTGTCCCATTTTTACTACCCCTAATATCTCTTTGTTTCAATGCATTTTATAATAAAACAACAAAAGTTGTACGGTTTTAAAGGAACTATAAAATAGTACCATTAGTGTTGACCTTGCACAGTCATAAAGATTACGTGAAAGTCACTATCACATGATAAGTTATAAAGTTTCAACATTGCAATATCGCTTCTGAGAATTTTGCGCACATGCAAACTGCATCTGGGGTAAAATATTTTGTACAGTTATCAGCAAACGAATAGATCGCCTGTGGAATTATTTTTTAAAACAACCAGCACACGAATAGATCGCCTCTGGAATTATTTTTTAAAACAACCAGCACACGAATAGATCGCCTCTGGAATTATTTTTTAAAACAACCAGCACACGAATAGATCGCCTCTGGAATTATTTTTAAACCAGCACACGAATAGACCGCCTCTGGCACTAACTACTATAAAAACTATAATAATAATTATCAATTATACATGAAAAAATAAACAAAGGATTGCATTATCTTTCAGATAAAAAAAATTGAGAATTGCATTTTAATAAAAAAAAATTAAAATAAAAATTAAAATAAAAATAAAAATTGCATTTTAAACGTCTATTTGAATGTTCTTATAAAATTACACCTACATACATACATATATACAAATATATATATATATATATATATATATATATATATTTATATACAGGGTAAGCCATTTTAATCTTTGCACTAAAATTTCTCAAAATTCAAAAGTTTAAGACAAAAATGTTTCAGATAAAAGTTGTATGGTTTCAAGGGGGACATGAGATGGTGTCATTGATTTGACCTTGAATAGCCATTTGAAGGTTACGTGACGGTCAACTTCAATTTCTTAAATGGAACACTATATTTTTTCAGAAATAAATATTTTTTATCGGCTCTCAATATAAATACTTATTATTTATATTGAGAGCCGATAAAAATATTTATTTCTGAGTTTATTCACGCCTTGGGCTAATCACGGCGGTATTTACTAACATCTACTAAAAAGGCAAATGAAAAATATAGGATCGAAAGGGTCTGAATAGCTTAGTTGGTAAGAGCAGTCGCCCGGAAAGTGAAAGACGCGGGTTCGATTCCCGCTTCAGCGACTTTTCGGACCTATATTTTTCTCGCTTATTTCTCCATATGTAAGTTTCGAAATTAATTTATATGTGGAACTTTGGGATCTCAAATTGAGATACAGTTCCGTTTAATTAATTTTTCGTTTCGTTTCCTTGACTATATTTTTTCTTGCATACTTTTATAGCTGACTTCAAGATCTTTCCAAAACACTACAATAAAATATTTTTTCATTAAGTATTTTTCGAGTTATAAGGCTGCAAATTTGCAGTATTTTGACAT